GGGCGGCGTCTTGTGCCGCTTGCCCTCCGCCGGTGCTGCGGGCGCTGCGGGGGCTGCGGGGGCGGCGGAGCCCCGCGTCGGTGCGTGCAGCACTGCGAACGGGTCCGACTCCCATGCGCTCTGGATACACACACAAATATTGCGTCACTTTAATTGAATCCAGTTAATTACATTTTTCGGTCAATCAAATGAGAAGCTTACGTCATTGGTGGTGGCGGTGGCGGCTGCGGGCTCGCTGGGGGCGAACGCGTCGCCGGCGAACGGATCCGCACCGAAACCGTCCTGTAATGTGCGCATACACAGTATCATTATTGGAACGGTAATAATTAATAAACAAAAACAAACTCAACTAAATATGAGAATTACAAACCTGAGCGTGTGTGGCGCCGCCGGGGGGCGCGAAGGGGTCGCTAGGAGCGAAGGGGTCCGCGGAGTGAGAGTTCGTCGTCGGCTCGGGGAACGGCTCATCGTCCTGCACATTTCTTACTAGCTTAGTCTCCTTCGTGTCTTATTAATGAAAGCATCGACGAAAGCGGCCGCACAGTACTCACGAGCGACGCGCCTCGCGCCAGGCGCTGCAGGTACTGGGGCTCGTGCAGCGGCTGCAGCGCTGCGGGTGCGCTGCCAGCAGACATCGCCTCCAGCGCTGCCTCCATCGCGCGCTCGTGTTCCTCCAGGTGGTCGATCTTCACCCGCGCCTGAAGCACACGCGCACTCTCAGACACACAGCACAGACATACACGCTCTGTGCACGAGGCGACTGTAAGGTCGCTGACTGGTACCTGACTGAGCGCGAGCACGGTGCGCTGCAGCTGCGCAGTGAGCGCGTCCGCGGCGGCCTCGGCGTCGCGCAGCTCGGCGTGCAGCGCCTGCTCCTGCGCGCGCTGAGACTGCGCAGCTGCGCGCCGGCCCGCCACCTCCGCCTCCGTCTCCGCGGCCGCCGCCTCCTGCGCGCTCGCCTGAGACCGCAGCTTCTCCACCTGCACACGCACCACGACCACTCACTCAACCTATGGTTCTAATGAAAATGTTATGAAAATCAATAAAAGTTTCCTCACCTGTGTCTTTAGATCATTAAGTCGCTTTTGTGCTTCGCCCTTCTGATTCTCTAATTGTTTCAAAGTGGCCGTCAACGTGTCGAGTTCGCGCTGGAAACATATATTAACAGTATTGGAATAGATATAAGCGACAATATGTTCATCTCGCTCTCGCAATATGTCTCTCCCTCACCTGCAAGCTGTCGGCCTCCCCCTCCTTGGCGATGAGGTCCTGCTGCTTGGCGGCGACCTCGGCCTCCAGCGCGAGCCTCTCCCGCGCCAGCGCGTCCGCCTCGCGCGCTATCGCCTCCAGCTCCGGCGTCGGCTGCGGGCCCAGGTTCAGTCCCGCCTCGGGCTGCACGACATCACACTTACATTAACTGCCGCACTCAAACTCATTATGTGATGATGATCCACTACACATAAAATTGCACTAAATATTTCCCTTAGTATGGCAGTTCTTATGCAAAGATGTTCAACAGAGGAAAATAGAAATAGTTTCAAAATCTCTAAAGTTCCATAAAATCCAGTTTCCTTTTATAATTCCAAAACTTGTAAACACATTCTACATTCAAACTTTAAAATGAAAAGCACAGAAACAATTCAAACAGCTCAAATGTCAATCGAACAAATAAAATGCATATAGTAAAAATTATAATTTTAGTAATATTTACGAAGAACCACGTCGACGTGTTAGCAGATATAGATGCAGGTAAATTTCAAGCAAATATCTATGGATACAAAATCTATATTAGCATATATTTTAATTTTATAATTAATTACAGAAGATGCCAAAGAGGCACACAATGCCACCAGACTTGCTGATTATTTGAAAGAACATAAGATTCGATGTCATGCTATATCCGCCTACGAAGGTTCAGTTGCGCGCTTGCCTTGTGGTGGTGCTAGAGAGCAACAGAAAGTGACATGGCTGTATGCAGAGGTATTATTCAAAAATATTTAAACCTGACATCGAATTAATATTTTAAAAAACTTAGTTTATAATTATCCCTTCACAGATTTTTTTATCGATTTGAAGACAGGTTTTATATTAATTTTTTCTTGTTCTTTATGTCTGTCGTTTCAGTCAATCTACAACGTAACATTCAGTCCTATGGAAGAAAAGGAGACGGCAGTGGAGGATGGCAACCTCACTATATATTACGTGCAACAATCAGACAGGGGAGTATACCAATGTAACGTTGGATCTATTGTCAGCAGTTTGGTCGTCTTGCAAGTTCTGGACGATGACGACAAATATAATGTGGTTAGTAAGTCCCCGGATAGAACAGACTATTTAAAGAGAGTATTTAATATACCTTAGTAATTAATATTGGTTGTTCCCGACTTTTGGGTAAATGATTCGAGTCGATTGTTTTCTATAACTTCTGTACTAAGTCCCTATTTGCAGGTGAAGCCGCTAACATCTCACGGTCCATACCCCTCTCCCCCTGCACGCCTAAGCTCCAAGCTACTGGTCTTCATCAGATGGTCTGCATGGAGCGGCTGCAGCCGGTGCGGTCAGGTCGGTCGGCAGAGACGCTATGGTTACTGTTGCGTGCGGTATACTGACACGAGCGGGGTACGTGACTGTAGCGTTTTGTTTTTATTTTCATTACAAACCTAAATTTAGGGAAAATTCGCCAAAATAGCGAAGCGACTGCTCCCCATAGATATCATTAGCAGATGCGTTACCAAACTTTAATCGACAATGAATAAGGAAGCGCAAGTCTGCACATTTGTGCAACAACCGGTATTTTTTATTACAACACATGAATTTACTCACCATGAGTTGTTTTGCTTAATCTTTTTGTATTTCAGTCTAATGTCAAATATAATTCTTCCGAATCTAACAACGTTTTACTGAGGAATGAAGATATTAAGTTATTTCAAGGTAACGTTTTATTTATATTTAAAATTCAATACGCTTCCATACACTTTCTTTAAAGGAAAGTATAAAACAATAACTACGCGCTGTGTAACCTTATTTTGATATGGATAATAAATGCGTACAAATCAATTTTATGGTAAATTTGAAAATTAAATTGAAGCCATGACCTAGTTACTTTGCTGATAAAGGCGAAGCACATTCAACTATCAATATGCAAATGTACAATTGAATTGGCAAACAAATTATTATAGGTAAATTTTGAAGTTATATTTATATAGTTATTTTTAAATTTATAGCATTTCCTGACGGAATTCCTTGCAAATCAAATCTATTGCCAGTGACTATAATAGACCTACCGGCGGTTGCTACGAGAAATAATGAAATAATGATTGGACTTTGCAAGGTATCAATATCTCTCCCTTTCCGAGTAGAACGAGTGGAAAGAAAGTCGAGGTGTTTCAGGTGCCCTGTAAGAGCGACATATTCGAGGTGCGCGCGAGCAACGGGGAGGTGTTGGAGCGAGCCAACAACAGCGAGGGCGTGTTCTCCCTCTGTCAGAGGGAGCCCCCGCAGCCCCCGCCCCCCTCCCGGGACATGCACTTCGCCCCCCGGGGCGCCGCTGTGCTGCTCAAGTGTCCGGGGTACAGTCATAGTTGCACGCAACGTATTCAATATTATCCCCGTGAACGAAAAGCTCATTTTTGCAGTGACCTTGAACTTTAACTTACTCGAATAAGAAATGTTACATTACTTAGTTGTTTAAACTTAAAAGGAAGTACTAATTCAAAAAAGGCAGGAAAGCAGTAAACATTGTTTTATCATGGTACTATTAAACTTGTTAAATACGTTGAATAAATAGGCTAACATGATATTTTTCATAGGAAACTCTTTTTCATGTACTACAGCAGTGCATTAGAAGACAGGCCGGTGACGTGGTGGATAGGAAACAGAGAGGTGGTCCCGCGGGAGCTGGACATCAGCACTGCGGGCAGGATGCATCTCAATGCCAGAGATCACATCGTCATCGTCAGCGCCGAGTACACAGACTCCAATGTTTATAGGTGTGTTACATCCCACACTCGTTAGTGCCACTTTTAGAGTTGATTAACCATGGGTTTCTGAGACTGAATTCTCTATATAAAACTTATTATCATCCCTATCTTTGATATTTGACAAAAGAGAAAAGATAGAAATATGGTTTGTTTATGTAATCTCCAGCTGCTGGGAGGGCGAGAAGCTGTCAGGTGTGATAAAGTTGAAGTTATTCAGCGAGTCCCGCGAGAAGTGCGGCGGGCGAGTGACGCAGCTGGGCGTGGTGTGCGGCCTGGCGCTGCTGCACCGCGCCCTGCATCACCTCCACCTCTGTCTCACACGTGTCACACCTCGCACACCTCTCACACCATCACACGCACGATAACATCGCATTGCAACCTTTGTCGGTTCATTTTTAAAGTACTTTAAGAGCAAAATAAATATATGGACGATATTTAAAAAAAAATAGTTCCGTACTGACGTCGAGTTTAGTCGTCCTTGTCGTCACATCGTCGTTGTTGTCTCATACCTTACTTACCTATTTTTATTTTATTCTAAATTATATATCATTGTCAAGTAAGCTTCTAGTATAACCATTAAAGATTTACTATTCGTTTTAATTTCATTCTTTTAAAATGTAAGTTATTGTAACTCTTTGTTAAATTACAAGGTGGTATGAGGTGGGCGTTACCTGTGTGGGCGGGGGGAGTGGTGCGAGTGGTGCGTGCGGTGGGTTCGGAGGCTGCAGCAGATGCGGCGGCAGCGTGGTGGGGAGGGGAATGCCGCGCATCGCGCGCTGCACCAGCCACATGGCCGTCGAGAACTGCAGCCGCGTCAGCTTGCCCACACCGCCGCTGTCGCACAGCGCCCTGCGCACACACACACACATTACACTGTCGACCGCTCACAGCTCACCGCTAACAATATTACTCACACCTCTATCGCTTCTACATTCATATATAAATTGTCATCAAACATCAACAATATTCAGCCGCTGCATAATATGAGGTACCAGATGTGCGCGAGGATCTGCTGCGGCAGTCCGCTGCGCAGGAAGGTGTCGCGGATCTCAGCGCCGGAGACCAGCCCGTCGCGGTCCATGTCCGCCGCCTCGAACTGCGCGTCGTACTGCGCGCGCTCCGCCGGCGTCGGCCCCATGCTCGACATGCCGGCCATGCTGCCCACGCTCCCCATGTTGGGGGGCACGCTCGCCATGCCGGGCACGCTGTTCGCAGGGGTCGATGTCGGCTGGAAATACAAATTACAATTCTATTCATAGTTATATTTTGTTAAGAACATTAATGCAAGTGGACTAGCAGTCCTTCGAGCCGGATCCCAAAATGAATATTGAATTTATTTCTTTTACAACATTTACTTTCTATTAAATTGTTGTAATAATTGATACATAAATCGATAAATGTAGTGCAAACTCACACTGGAAAGATCTAGAAGTCCCTCGAGCAGGGAGGCATTGGACTGCGGCTGCGCGTGCTGCGGCGGCGGATGAGGGCGGGGCGGCGGGGGGCGGGGCTGGGGCGAGGGTGGGCGAGAAGGAGGGCGGGAGGCGGGGCGACTGGGCGGGCGGCTGGGCGGGCGTGCCGGGCGCGCGCGCAGCTCGGGCGGCAGGCAGGTCGGCACCGCGTGCTTCTCCAGCGCCTTGTACACCAGGTGCATCGCCTGCACATTGTCACAATTCAAAGTTATTTAAGGTTACATATATAATTTACTTTTTATAATTAACATTGTGATTGTAATCACATTAAATTTTTCTTGTATTCACTCACCACAATAAACTCGTGTCTATCCAACATGCCATCTTTGTCCTGATCTGCTAAATCCCAGATCTTCCCGAGGGTCTCTAACGGTAATTTTGACTCCATCAAAACTCCTTTCACCTGAAAATCAATACATAGAACACATGAAGCGGAAAAACGTATCGCGTTTGATTTTACTCGCTTATTGAACCGAACAAACATTAAAATAACACAAGAAGTGATAAAAGAGAAGCTCTAATATGCACACAAACCTTGTTGCCGGGTATAAGTCCGTTGTTTGGCTGCAGGGAGTCGAACAGCTGGCTGTACTTCTCGCGCTCAGCCGGCTTGATGCTCCAGTCTCCGGCCGCGCCGGGTGCTGCGGGGGCGGGCACGGGGGAGGCGCTCGCCGGCGGCACTTTCGGCAATTCGCCCTAGTATATATAAAATCCTTATAACACTAAGAACACAGTACAGACGTCTTACAAAGTTTCCTGTTTTTGTAGTCACAAAACAGTCCAACAAAATGTCAAAGTTTGTACGTACGACTTTAGGGGGCGGCGCCTCACTGTGTATGTTGGTCATGTTGATGTCCTTGCCGGCCTGCGCCAGCGCCACCAGCTTCAGCGCAACGAACAGCCCCGCCTGCAAACACACAAACGCACACGTGAACTATCTTATACTACAATTACAAAGGAGGTTGCATTTCACATAGCTTCCGTACCGTGTAAAAACATGTCTGACGTAAACACCAACAATCAAGGTTCTAACCTTACTGATGACATCCAAATAGTCTTTAAAATACACAAGGCGGTACCATACAGTGGGAACTAAAACCTAAACCTAACGTTATATAAACGTATAAACGTTAAGTTAAATTGTTTAACACCTTATCATGTGACAATTAAGGGAAAATAAAAAACATACAACCAACTAGATATCTTTGGTGAAAATTTGAAAAACAAAGCTATAAAGTCATCAAACAGTGTCATCAAATGTACAATGGTGAACGACTGTCAGCTGTCGCATAGCGGCAAACAAACCACGAGATAACGATATCTCTTGCGACAGCCGGCGTCCGCGCACATACTATGCTCGTTTTATCTGCCTCAAATAATGTAAAGGCACTTTCAATTGTAATAACTAGTTTAATTTGAAATATAGTATGTCGATGTTCTGCGATCTATGAGAATTTATTAAAATATACAACCGTTATTTTAAATCAGCTTTTCTAAGCGTATCTCTGGTAGAAATAAATATGAAAAACACAAGACACGTGCTAGAGATAACAATGGGATGCGACGTCGCATCGCCTAGCCGACTCCGCGAGATGAAACCAAATAAATTATTACAACAAACATATACTTGATTATGAAATTCTACTTTACTATTTCTGTAAAAATCTCATAAAAATACTGTCATCACCTTACTTGAATATTCCAAAATCTTTGTATAAAACATATCTTTGTTATTATTTCTGACAAAACAGTGATAACAATAAGTTTTCAACGGAAATTTTTGCCTCAGAAACCCAGGGTAAATGTTCTTTTTCAGCTATACTTGTAAACGTATCATAAAAACAGATATAGGTTTCATCAGTTAATGTAGAAAGCGCTATTCTTCACTTGTACACTAGTCAAAAACAATGAACGCGTTTAACCAGAGCTCGCATCGAGTAAATTAAACCGTTCCAATAAACTTACAAACAAAAATATTATTAAATTTCATCGTCACCAGTATAGTATATTTTCATCGAATCACAATATGTGTGCTGATTTTCAAACCGTCTGAGGCATCTTAAAATCAATCCATTGAAAACTTTTGTTAAAAAGACGAGAACAAAATGTTTTATCTTATGTTAGATTCAGCTGCATTTTAATTCTACTCATCGATCGGCGACGACCTCGATTGTGCTCCACTCGAGCCACTACGCCATAATCAGACTATAATTATTATCAGACGCGATCTCTGTCAATACAGTGAGATGACGAATTTATTAGGTTTCTATATCGACTGATGACTATTGAACAATTTTGGATAACGAGTTGCGCACACACACAAAGCAGTTCAGAATTTCGATGTTAATGGTTGCGTGTTTTAAAAAATAATCACGTTTTTTAGGCTTCCAAGTACATTTTTTAATAGTACTAGATAATTTGACGAAAGAAACCTGATATTAAAATGTTTGTTGCAATATGCCTTGCTGTATGCTGCGTGCTTGTGTTTTTATTCGTACCTTGTCCAAGTATCCCTTGCCATTGGGATCGGAGAGGTCCCATATCTTGCTGAGCACGACATCGCTGAGGCGGGACTTCTTCAGGAACCGAGCGGCGTCCAAAGCTTGGATCGCCCCTGTGCCGTTAGGGTCAACCTGAAAAATGTTATGTTAATACTTAGAAATAGAAACAAAGCGATTGAGCACTAAAGATATTCGGCTTTATAATTTGGAGACTCGAGTTTATGAAGTTATATGGTTTTCGGACATAACAATGTAAATAATAATGCGAATCATTTCTTCGCAAGCTTGCAGAAAACAAAACTGTTCAATATTATATAACTTGTTCAATAAATTCACAATTGACTTAAATTGAATCCGGGACAGGTGATTCAGTGCAGCAGAGGAAGCACAAAGACGAACGCATAAACTTAAGGATACTATATTGTGATGCGCGCTTGGGAGTATGGGGGCAGGGTGTCTGGGGAGTCCGAGAGCCGGGGAACATCGTCGGAAACACTCGGAGCACCTCTGAGGATGCTCCATATGCGAGGACGTCCTTGTAGCTTGAGCAATTAGCATTTGATTATCATATTGTTAGAGGACACATTCACTAGGGACGACTTGTGTAATATTGCTATATTATCGTAACAAGTTTTAGTAAAAATACAAAAAAACAAACTGAGTGTAGACTTTTGAAGACAAAATCAATTTTTACTTATTTATATTATAATCTCCTTTGTATTGTTTTTACCAAAACCCTATACTTTGATACACCACAGTGCTCATCTTGAAAAGTAATTACGTAAACTAAGGTTTATCGTTTATTTCAACAATATTAAACGGTGATGAATGCGTCAATTAAATTAGCCGATTAATAATTTTACTTTGATTTTGAACTAAAAGTGGCGTAAGAAAACGTGACTGAAATATTTGAGACGCTTTTGGTTTATTGATCTTATTGCAGACGAGATTCCGGCGCCCAAAAGTTTGACCTTATTTCTCATATTTGTAGCACTTTAGTCTTATTTAAAAAGTGTAATCATCTTAAAAACTATAAAGAAGTAAAGCCCTAGGTACAAAATGACGACTGTCAGAACGTATGGATTAGCTGAATTGTTGTCTTATGTACACAATCTTGTTAAATTGAATACATATTGAAATCTTCATTATCAAATGATCGTTCTATTCGTGTCATTGCTTATCGCTATATGACGTAGAGATATTCATAAGAAAAATATAAATAAATTTATAGCTAAATAAAATTTTATAGGCGGCTTAAACTTTACTCACAAGAAGAAAGAAGTCTACACAAATATTACTTAATCAATACTTACGACTTTTATGTGCCGTAAAAAGCTACTGCAAGTAAAATATTGATTTGATATGAAACGCAAACTAAATTTATACGAAAAGAAATTGTACGGCCACAAACAAGCATCACTGATATTTCTTTTACATCTTAAAGTTACGCACTACACGGTTTTCTCGCGTTGACGAAAAGTCAAAAACGCATGTTCGCCGATTGGAAGAGCGAACGCGATAAAATTAGCAAAAACAACATGTCCAAATCTCTTCATTGCACTTTCTGAACAGCTCCTAAAATTCCTTCTACAAAATTGCGTAACTATATTTATTAGGGTTAAAATACAGTAACCAATCATTTAATAATGAAATATATAAACAATTATTAAATATTATATTATTAAAAGAAACATGTTTTAGATTGGTCAAATAAATCTATGCTTGCATTTGGGTGCATTTAAAATATTGGCAAAACTAAGACATTTTCAATGATTTATGAGGATCTAGGCATTATGCCAATTATTTATGTCTCTTGAAGGCCAAAATATAGAAATTAGGTCCATTTATTAGGTTACTGGACCTAATCAAATAGAATTGTAGCTTGATAGTTTAATTTACAATGTTAATTAAAACAATTTTTAAAAATTAAAACAAATTATTATTATAAAAAAGAAAAATGGCCTTTCTATTGTCTCCCTTTGAAGTCTTTTCACATCTTTAAAAATTAAAAAAATAGAACTTAAAGAAAAAATAAATGATTTACGAAACATAAACTCAATGGAATTTGATTTAATCTGACACAAAAATACAGTTTCAACCAAAATATAGAAATAATAAATTCTGCAATTCAACAGTTTCAAGTTACTGAGACTGAACTACTCAAAAATGTAATATTGAAGGATTTAAGCACTCTTTAACAAATCCTTCACTAATAGCTTGATAAAAAACTGGCACTGCTAAAGGCTAATCTTTTAAAAGTGAAGATTTAAAGTGAAATGCATCTTATTTCAAACAGTTTAAACATTACTATGAAATAATTGAGGTTGTTAAAAGTCAATTTCAAAAATGATTCACGCCATAAGTATTTACTTAACATGTACATAACAGAAACAAACAGTATAACCCCATAATCAATTCTTAATTATTTTTGCTTATCTACAGTAGGTATTTTTATTTAACATTTATTTGTTTGCTTCCAATTTAACCAATTTACAGATAATAACAGCAATAAAGAAATCTGATTTATCATTGAGAAAGCTACTAATGTTTTAACAGTATAACACTAATCACCGAGTTGCACGGTCTTGTTGAAAATTTGCATAAGCCATAATACTATAACCTCTTACTAATATTGTAAATGTGAATGTTTTGATGGATAGATGGATGGATGATTGTTACTGATTATCTCTAGAATCGCTTCATGGATCATGATGAAATTTAGTATAGCTGTAGTACATAGTCTGAAAAGATGCATGTGCTATCTGTGATATTCATTGTTTTTATATTTATATTAACTAGATAACTCTAATTGTTTAACATATATTAATAAAATTGGGTACAGATATAGAACATAGTCCCGAGTAACACACAAGATACTTTTCACTCTTATATATTTTTATCTCCAAATATAAATAAATTTAGTGATTAATGTTTTATGTACTTAAATATACACATGCATTCTCTATAATAAAATTAAAGGCCTTTGTTAAAGGTTATATAATAATATAATGATTAAAATAATTGTGGAAATAACCTATTTATCTCCATAATGGGAATCTTTCTAGCATTTATTTGAAATGCTCTATTATATAATATGATAACATGTTTGAACAAGTTATTTTAAAAAAAAAATAGAAAGAAGAAAATGCTGGTTACAGCATATACATTGGGGTAATCAAATGGAGATGGATCAGAACTAAAAGTTGGGGCATAACTGGAAGTGGGTGAAGAATATGAACTAGAATATTTGATATCCCAACCCAATTTTGTTTGGTGTGTGAATAAGACAGTGACTGTGACAGTGAGATAAAGTATATAAAACACATTGTATAGCAGAAGTTAACATAAAGATAAACATATACATAGTCTTAAATTACATACATACTTACAACTTTTTAAATGATGCAAAATGTAAAAGATGCAGTTATATAAGACCATATTGAAATTAATGTAAAATAATATATTTTTAGAGAATAAATAGGACATAAAGTTAGTGAGCATGTTTTCATAGAAGAGATAGGTTAAGCAAATTTAAAATTTAGTCAATGTTACTCCCTGATAGAAGAGCTTTCTAGCAACCAATCTTTTTCTTATAGATTTTAACATAATTGGCCATTGTACACATTTACTTAGATTAAAATTTTCTTATAATACTTCTTTTAAATATCATAATAACTATTATTATTATCCAAATAATATCAGGACTTTACAATGGGCACTTTAATTACACAATTTGAATTTATTCAAAGTCTATTCAACACCAACGTAAACATTTAAGAAACATGATCAATTGTTTTCTTTTCACATCTCAATTTGAGACCAAGTACTTTGATATCAAATGTCACTTAAATCTTACGACAGGCGTGACTTTGTACAAAATACTGGGGCGTTACTTGCATGAAAACTACAAAAAATTTGAAGAGACTAAAGAGTCATGGCGAAATCTAGAAAGCTGTTAGTAATGCGAAGTCTTATAGATTTCTATTTATAATTACGACTTACAACATTTATAGACAATCATTTATACAATTTAAGTATTGATCATTACATTAGACTTTTATTCCTTTAATTAACATAAATCATTGTAAAATAAACCATTAACTTATCTGAACTACACTGTTTTAGTGTGAGCAAAGGAAAAATGTACTTACTTGGTGATAATAGGCTTCGTATATAGAACTGTGGGTCCCTGCCACCTGCAATCCGTTAAGCCACATTTTTAGTGTTTATATCACTCGAAAATATTGTTTAATTCGCGTTTAAACGAGCGTTACATGGGTGTGACATTACACTCTGACATTAAATGTTCGCGCAAAAATTGATGTAATTAGGTAACAAATTGCAAAATATACTAAAAAAATTTGTATGAACACCAGAAAACGTCCACTTCACTAAAATGTGACTAGATACTGGCATATATTCTAGCAAATTTCATTGTAATTCACAATTTTCAAAACAGCGAAACCAGTACATGACACTTTGTAACGATTTGCTACTCAAACACGATAAACGACCGGGTAATTTTGCTGCACTCAATTATTACAAATTTAATGAATTTTAGTTTTTACTCTTGTTTGAAAAAACAATGTTGTTTTAATAATTTATATCTACTTTATTCTACCTGAGTAGGAGAAGGCAAGGCAGCCATTTTTTACATCTCCTCGTTGACCAATCAATAGAGTCCATAGACTACAGAGAACTTGACATTTCTAGGAAGCTTATTAAAATTGCCTTTTCAAAATCAAAATCTATGGTTAGAATTTTATTTTCTTTCCTAAGGTTGATGAATATGGGGATTGGTAACAAAATTTTGATCATTATATTATTCTCGGAAGCATAAGATTATAAAAATAATATCTTTTGGAATTCGCAGACTTACTTGCTTACTTTATAAACATAAGACCTTATCGGTCTGTTATTAAGAATAAATAATTTCTGCAAATGACAAGCAATAGATACTTCTAAATTTTATTGCACTAATCACAAAAAATCATAAACACATATTAAGTTGTACAGGCATAAATATTTCAGTTTTGGTCAATATCCCCTCCCGGCTGAAATCTGCCAACTTTAACTGCGGTTACAAACTTCATTAAACGCTCCAGACCTCTTTTGTTAATGTTATAAAAAGGTTGCTGCTCAATTTCATTAAACCAGCGTCTCAGTTTAACATGATGATCTGCTAATGGTATTGAGCAAAGCACCGTCGATATTGTGGCCACAGCGCAAATGTCTGCAAGCATCATCTGAAGCAATACATGATAATATCAAAATCATGTCTTTAAATACGTAGTAATGTAAGGAGAAGTAGTGATTAAAAAGGACTTACTTTGTCGCCAGCAAGCCACTCGTAATTTTTCAGTCTATTTTCTAAGAAGTCCAGCGCTTTTAACCAATCATCAATTCTTTCTTTGCTAGCAGGAATACCAGCAAAGAATTTTGTCTGTAAATAAAAAATAATAATTCAATGATAAAACTTTAACAGTGGTAGAGCCCGCTTTAACATCTTCGCACGAATTGGCCCGGCTCGCCCGGTGAAATACCACGACCACACAGAAGACAGGCGTCAAATGGAAGCAATTCCGCGTACAGTTTGATGAGTGTACGTCCCGGAGGCCTAATTTAGTCCTCTTTCTTTTCCCACCGTTTTGCTTATGCGGAAACGATGGGAAGTGGAAGTGGACTTTCCGGATGAGAGGATGCATGCAAAGGGAAAATATTTTCTTTCTGTGCATCCTGTCCTCTGTCGATTAAAGGTAGGTAGGTAACGCATATGCAATTGCGTATGTCTATGGGCAACGGTCACTTCGCTATTTCAGCGATTTCATAGATAGAAGGATCATAGATAAGTGTCTTCCAATCTACCTCCCCTTCACAAAATAGTGTCAAGCTCACTCCAAACTAAAATATTGGCTCCGCATTTAATTCTTGTAATAATATCCAAAACACAAGGGAGTGTTACTCCAGATTGCTTTACTTAAGTATATCATATTTGTCTATAAACGCACATAGATGTCGCTGTCAATGGGAAAGAGCGTTGTGGCGTTGTAGAATAGTATCTCGTCGCAGTGAGCCTGTGCGAGGTCGCCGGGGGGGTAGAGCACGTGCTCCGTGTCCCAGCGCCGGCACAGGTACAGCGCGATCGCATGGCTGTCCACTAGCACTTCGGCGTGCGTCATTAGACACGGAACTTTCTGCAGGGGGTTGATCTGAAAATTTTATCACAAAAATTGTATTAGACCATTTAAGTTTGACAATTTAAACCACCATAACTACACGGGAGACTCTAAGTTAACAGTAAATTATTCCACCTGAATACTAACATTTTTGTAAAACTCCGTCTTATTTTCACCACCAAAGAGATCGACGTTACGGAAGTCGAGGTTAATCCCGAGGATGGAGGCTGTCATCTGAACGAACCGCACGGGCGGTGACGCTTCGTCTCCGTACAAGATCAGCTTGTCGCCTATTGTGAGGCTTCTGAAAGATAAGCATAATACATAGGATAACAAAACAACTAAACTGCAACTGAACTGAAAACGATCCATAATAGACATACGAATGGGTAAGATTTATAATTTTAATTAATCATCATTCATTTGGCAGTGGTTGACACCAGCAACGACATCTATTGCATGAATGGGCCGATTCGACCAGCGCAACACTAAGACTACGCTGAACACAGGCGTGAAGTTGAAATAATTCCGCGTTTCGACGGATGAGTGTGCATGCCGTGAGCCTAATTTAATCGCCTCCTCTTCCACCCTTTCTTATAAAGAAATTATGGGAAGGGAAGAGGATTTGACGACGAGAGGACGTATGGGAAGGGATACTCTCCTTCTGTGCGTACTCCTCCTCCGTTGATTAAATGTAGTCAAAGTATCTACAATTGCGAATGTCTATGGGTAGTAGTCGCTTCGTTATTTCAATCAATTCACGTGCACGCCCGTACGCCTGCCAACTTATGATATTAAAAAAATAATCATGAAGGACTCGTTTAAAATTCCGACTGGTAATAATACACTCCACTGTACATATAATATGTTAATACGATTTTTTTAAGAACAAGTTGAGTGGCTTATTGAAAAGAAAGATAATGATGACATAGTTTTTATACAAAATACTTCTTATCAATTTAGAGCTATTGTATGCCGATTCAAAATTAAAACTGAATGACGCAGTGTACTTTTAATACCTTTAATAAAGTACCTTTACAAGTAATAAGTTGACTCTCGTCTTATAAGTTGCGTGCCGGAATCCTAATTTTAGTTCACTTTCTCTTCCCATTTCTTTCTTATGAGGAAAGGACAGGAAGAAATTTGATTTGGCGGAGGAGGGAACGAAAAGGAAGAAGAAATATGTGCTTTCAGTGTATCCTATTCTCTGTCGAAATGGTAGGCAAAGCATCTGTAAATGGGTTGTAGCCATTTCGCAATTTTTAGCGAATTTAGTAGGCTGTTTGTTTCCTTGCCATTTTACACTGTGAAAAAATTTAGAAGCGTTTCGTTTTTTCAATCATTTTTAAATAAAACGTAGTTGTGTAATAAAATAAAAAGCCGCTGTTAACATTATAAAAAGAAAGTATTAACTAAAAACAAGCCATTATTCTGTCATGAAATTAAAAAAAAATAAACTCTGATAAGGGAATACGTAAACTTTTTAAACAACTACGACTTTACTCAGTAAATCATATAGGTAGGTAGAAACGATACAGGTAGGTAATTGTAATAACGCTGGGTTAGTTCTTTTTCAAGTTGCCTTGCTAGGTACATAAATTCTTAATATTATTTATATGAACGTTGTACTTCAGAATTATAACTAAATATATACTCACTTTACTTTAGATGAGTAAGTGCGTAGAGTTGGATTCCTTGCAGCCATTGTCAAATTTTTAATAATGTTTAATCTGAACATAGAGATCGCGAGCAATGACTCCGAACAGCTTCCAACAACAACAAAGTGGCGGGAAGGTGACGCTCGCCCGGAATATGGCGCGCGAATGCTCAAGTTTGTGCGCGTCAACCGGACGAGTTTAGGTATTGTTGTTCACACTGCGATCGACAGAAACTGATACCTGTTTAATATTTATTGTAATTTTGATTTATTCCTTTAAATTATTTATGTTGCTCATACTGGACGAATTTTGAAACCATGTTTACCCTTTATTACGGGGTTCTGTATGAAGTTTTCAAATACATTTGACGAATACTTCGCTACCATCAACCTATATCAGTCCACTGCTTTTTATGCCAAAATCTTCCACAGTATGCGGTACACCGCTTTCCGCATTCAGCGACGTTCGGACTAAGTTATCGGACCACCAGGAAGTAAGGGACATGGAGCCGGCTTCCAGAAGCCAAGATCAGTCCTGCACCGTAAGTCATTACGAGGAGGACGCACTGAGTAAAGTGTTCCGTGTGTTTTGAGACAGTTAAACCAAGTTTGAAAATTCTGGACCATTATCTGTACTGATAATGAACTCTGAAACTGATCCGATCGCGACACCTATATATTCATCGATAGCAGACTCTCCACAAAAGACGCAGCTTCTTTGAAAGTCAAATTATATTTTGCAACTCTGGGATACTAATTTGACTGTCAAATTGGTATATTCAATGCATTTAGTACTTGGGATACAAGAAACACGTGACAGATACTGCGCACCACAAAAAATTTATATTCAATCGCTGAATAATATATCTTTGCTTAGACGTTACGATGCAAAAGGAACTTTAATTATAAGTTAGTCTAAATTTTTTAAAAGTTTTGTTTGGAGTTTAATGTAGTCTCCCGCGAATAACGAATATTGACTTGGAAACAGCGGTAGTTCATAAGTTTTTACCATTTTACTACACATAAAATCGATATAGTTTTGGGAACGTTGCGTCGGTACTACTCTTGTAAAGCGCCTGTACGAATCGGACCGCAATCTACCATTCTATCGCATCTACCAATGCCAATTGTGATGCAACTTATACATATCTCTGTAGGAATGCAAACACATGTTTGAAGTCAACTAACCCACACTGGGCTAACGTGGTTAACGTCGCTCACGACGTGACTAGCCCTCAGGCCTAGTCACCTCTAACTTGGGTAGGCCTTAAGCCCCTTAGTGAGGACGTAATATATGAGCTGACAAAGAATAGTTTTAAAAGGCTACTATGCTATGAACAACTTAATATTAACAATTTGACACGTAACATTAAACTAGGTAGTAGATACTTAAATTGTAATTGAACAATAATTAAGTTTTTAGACTTGTAGTGAAATTTCACTTGGCTTTAAACTACTTACTTATTTCAGATATGTCTTTATCATATTTAGACACCAATCCATCTAATTTTGTATGCTAATTATAAAAGAGTTTTTTTTTATTTTTAAGTTTAATGAAAAAGAATCCATAAATTGCGGAATTATTAGTAATACAGAACTTTGCACAGCTTTCGTAGTTTGCATTGCTCTATCTTTTGTCCATTCATTCAATCATTCACCTGTCATGACACGATCCACCTTGTCACTTGTATTATTTAGGAATTTCAACATTTGTTGTGGTGGGGAAAAATGTGCAATTATTCGGGTCGAGAGCAAGTTGGTTATAATTAATTATGCATATTATCATACCCATTGTCTACGAGTATTACTATGTAAAAAGTTACCGCACGTTCTCACGAATTCCAAAGAAAGTGTACTTTCTGTAAAAGATTTCCAGTTTCATTACTCCCGTTGTCAACTATCGAAGTTCGTGAGTGATCAATGTTTATTACATTGCCTGATCTTAGATCGCATATCGCGATCGAGTTAAATAATTAGAAAGTGTTGGTGTCGGTGTTTACACGAATGGCAGGTTTCCATGCAAACGACACGATGCCTAAAATGGGGCTCGTCACGGACTTGCGAGAACAGTGGCTGGTGCGCGCCGACGGAGCCCTGGCACACCGCTTACAGGATCGTGAGATCTCGTCTCATCTCTGCGAGAACAGGTACCGCAATCAGCAAATACGTGAAGATTTTCCAGTGGCTTTGAGTGAACAGCGAGGAATCGAGCACGAAGTACATCTGAAAGAGCTCGCTCGTCGCCGGCAAGCGGATATCGACGCGGAGATTGCCCGGGAAATGGCAGAAATAAATCTCCGCAGGCAGCGACGTCAGCACAAAGACATAATGGAACAGCCGAGTTCCTCACGCGCCCCTCCCCCGGCACCGCCGCCCGATATCGATCCTGAAGAACTAGGCCTCTCTTCCTCGGAGTTGGAAGAGATGAGAAGACGCCTAGAGCAAGAGGAAAAAGATGCAAGATTGGCTCGGGAACTGAGCCATGAAACATGCAATGAGGATGTCCTGCTTGCCGACATGAGATGTGCAGTTGAAGCACAGGATAGTGAGCTTGCACGGCTATTGCAGGAAAGGGAGTACAAAAAGTTGCAGAGGGCAAAGGAGAAAGCAAAACAAAAAGCTTTATTGAAAAAACAACAAAGGCAAGCACAGCAACAGGAACCTCCACTGGAAACAACACAAGCCACACTTTGTGATGCCTACAGTAACCCTCGTGATGTGATTCAGGAAAATAGATTGAGATTATGCAAGTCAGTTGATTCAGATTTAAATTATGTGGAACCTTTTGAGAAAGAGGTCATTCAATCCAAGGAAAGTGCTTTGCTAGCCAAAGAAATATCAAATCAGTTCTATAAACAGGATGCAGGATCCAGCTTTAATGCTACCTCATCACATGTTCATCCCCCAAACCTCGTACCAGACAAGTCTGTGAGCAGTACAGCCTCCTCTATCCAACATAGACAACCACCCCCTCCACCTGTAGCTGGCAAAAAACCCAGGTTTCCAGATCCTGTGAGTATACGGCCTGCATCACATTATCCTACAGATAATGTATTATCCGGGACAGATATGGAGCACAATGTCTTACCAAAAAGCCACAGCGAGAACAGCCACTTTTATGACACAACATTCTCAAGCCACAATGACAGTGTTCAACAACTTGGATATGAGAGAGGTGACTCTGGTAAGCGACTATCCGTGATCTCTGATATCACGGCTGAAGGATTAGAAAAGAAGAAGAGAAAGCAAGCTAAGAAAAGTAAGGGATGTAGGATACAATAATTTGATACTAGGATGCAGAGTAAGAAAATTCCTTCCAGACAAAGGCATTACATTGTCCAAGTATAACTAATTTTTTTAGAGCTGTCACAAATATTTTCGAATTTATATCAAACAATAATCTCAAGTTTTAAGTATTTTAAAATTATAGTTATTATATATGTCCAATTATTTTAGAAGTTATTTATTATCTATTTAATCTGTAGAAGTACCTGCAGGAAAAAAACCAATGAGCCATGTTTTTATTTTTGAATTTAAGGTCTCTATGTGCCTTAATCTAGATTTAAGCTGTTACACAAACATTCCATTTTGTGATTGTATTAAAACAAAATATATTTTATTATATTATCCATCTTTAAAGTATTAGCAACATACAGAAGGTATGCCAATGACTCTCCCTCCTACTAACACCGCACTTGACTCGTCAGAACAGTCAGGATGTCACGAGCCATCGCCAAAGCTTTTGCGCAGGGGTATATAATATTTTATTATTTTCTATAACTTACAAATAGAAATTATAGTTAAGAAAAAATATGACATACTATACTAATGTTCATATTAATAAAAAGCCTACCTATATGATTACATTGAATTCTAAGGACATACAGAAAAGCTAAATATTTATCTTAAAACTTTATGATATAAATGTATATTGTACAAAGAGCAAAGATGTAGTTAAATTACACACAGTGTGAGAGACTTTATTATTTCTTGAAATATTTGACAGTTTCTCTCTGTAGAGTAATTCTTTAACTCGGCATTTTTCATTATCTATGATTGAACATTGACTTTCTTTGTAATAATTTTAGGTAACACAATAAATATTTCATATTTGACATAGAATCTCATAAAAGCTTGTTTAATTAAATTTACTAATAGTGTTTGAAAAATGCATTTGGATGTGTAAGATAAATCCAATGAATGCAATCACTCACATATTATTTTACATATACTCATACTCGAAAAATTCCAATAATGGAAAAATGCTTTTGCGCAACTGGTTGGTCATTTTGTTCCATAAATTCAAGCTATTTTTAAACAATATTTTTGTCATTCCATTTTAAGATAAGACTGATTACGATTACTGAATCTATAGTATGCTCAAATTTTTATATGTTTGTATTTTATATTTTACTTTTTAATATTAATGATTGACAATTATTTTAACAAACAATTTTGTTGCATTTGTAAAAGTAAAAAGGCACAAATTCAATTGATTAAAAATTAACAAGATCTACTGTTTTAGAATATTTAACGAACTTCAAAAAAGATGAGGTGCTCAATTCCTCTGCATTTTTTTATAAATGTCCAAATATGTAACTTTAAATGTAAGTTAATTTTGTTTGTGGGATGATAATATTCTTGTAATAAAGGTGTTACGACAGTGGGGATTCACCATTAGAAAAACATGCAGATCTGAACATCCTGTATATTGTGCTCATAAAGGATTCATACAATACAAATGAGTAATGCTTATGTGTGGTTGTACGTTTATTTATCAATAGCCTTTCATTCAATTGTTAGAGTTTGTTTACTATGAGTTTTTACTGCCTAATCACTTATACAAACGTTATTCTCATGGTATATTAAAAGAACAGTAATGACAATATGTTTTGTGGGATTGTGAGTAGAACTCAGAATTTTTTTAAATACTTAACATCCTGTACCAAAAAATAGAACAAATCAGTTATAGCCAATTGACCAATTTCACCTAAATGTCAGAATGTGCATGCCACAATTTATTTTATCATTTTATGTCTAATCTATGCGAATTTAGCTCTCTGATTATTTTTAATTTGTAATAAAAATTCTTTTTTCTACAGTATTTTTCTTATGTTAATTATGTACTTAAAGACTGGATTATTTATTTTATGATTACATTTGGCTACAGTCCAAAACCAATGAATATGATGCTTGAATCATTCATTCACTTGACAATGAGTATGTATTTCGGTCATCAGAACTATAATTATATGCGCGCAGGTTCACTTCGACCTACATTTTACGATTCACTTTTACCACAAAATGTAAATTTTAGATTCAAAAACAAATATTTATTCAATTATATTGGTATAAAATATAAATATTATATTGTTGTCCGAGGTGCTAAAGGCTAACAAAGAAAATGTTTAACTATTCAATGTCAAATATGTTTTAGCACTTTCCATGCTTTTGTAATTTTTATTCCTTGTATTCTGAAATACTCTATTATAAATAAAGTTATGTTTAAAATACTTTATAGTAGTAATAAGCTCTTAAATCCGCTCTGAATTTATTTGAGATTCATCAAATCGTGGAAAAATTTACGAATAGGGGACCTTTGTTTCTGTTTGATTTTAAAATTTTAGATGCAATATAAGTCTTCATGTTTGGATATTAAGTTGATTTTTGTTTATTCAGTCTATCACGAATATCGGGAGAATGTTTTCGTATATATTCGTAGCGTCAGCGACAAAATTTGCCTTTGTGTAGCGCCCCTACCAGCCGTTAAGTGCACCAACAAATTTCGTCGATGACGTCACGAATACTTTCTGACAAATATTCGTGATAGACACAATGATATTGCACTTATTCGTGAGGTTTGCGGTTTTAACTAACGATTATAATTTTTAACTTAAACTTCAGTACTACTATTTTAGATTTGATTGCCACAGCTCAGGTGATATCGAAACATTTCTCGACCAAATTTATAAGTTATTTATTTTATTTTACTATTTTGTTGAAGGCATTAAATATATTCAGTGCGGTGGTAACAATTTTAGCTTTAATTGCAATTTACGGCCTAATTAGTGCCTTATTGAAACGGAACCAAACTCTTATGTTTATCTTTTTTAATATTATTCGTCCATATTACTGAGACAATTTTAGCAAGTAACGACAAAACGCCCTTAGGATTAATTCAAACGATTATTTTAAACTGAATATCTTTACTTTTATATAAACGAGTCGAATTTTAATTTATGATTTTTTTAATTTGAATAAAGACTTCAGATACAATTTAACGTTTTATTTTAACCTTTATATCTGAAAATGAGTCAGTGGAAGGCCACAAATTACGATTTAACGGTTAGATAATCAACTTGCATATATTCAAAAATATATTGTTTGGACGCTAGAGGGCGTTAAAGATAATTCGTTTTTAAGCTAAACTTATGTTTGATCGCTATTTATTGATGACTAGTTGTAGCATTGTTTAAAAAGTAAAAGGTATGTATTTACTACATACGTTTATGAGAGGCCAATGCCCACTTCGGGTCCATGCGTCACCCTAGCCACATAACAAATGCAAACTATCCAAATTACATGCTATGGGCGAATGGTGCAGTGGCATGAATATGAGAACATTCGTTACACGAATTAGTTTAAATAAAACACATGTTTTCTTTTAATTGACTATGTTCATCATTATTAAACAAAAGAAATACAAAAATAGGACACAAAATGTAATAGTGTCGTATGAACGGAGGTTTCACTCTTAAATGACATAATATGGGAGAATTGTCCAATTTTCACGTATTTCAACTATAGATTTAAAACAATAAAACACTAGGTTACTTGCAAAAAGTCTTATAATATATATCACCGACATTTCCCTTCATAACCTTGTGATACGTCAAATTACAGCCAGACTATTGTGGAGATTTTACTTCTGTATGTTATACATATTTAACCTCAAAAATAAACATTTTCAGTTTATAAATATGCTACATAAGGTCTTTATAGGTTTTTAAAATATTTCTCAATAACATACTTCACATTGATTTGTACCACTAGTCATCCAAGATTCAATTGTTAAATTTTGAATAGGACTATTTTACTTTGTATAACACAGTGCAGAGTTAAAAATTTCTCTTTTTCAAAATTTCTAATTTCTTTTTACAATTCAATTATCATTTAATGCTATTTACACACTCATTTAAACAGCATTAAATGAATGTATCGTTAAGCGACATTCGCTGCCTGTTTCTTTGCTTTGACCAATTCTACTAACTCCTTGTATCTCTTCATGCAATCTTTTTTGGTGCGATTGGGGATGCAGTCTGCGATCTTTTCCCACCTCTCCGGAGTACTCACGGGGAATGTCTTGATGGCTTGCTCCAACAACTCTTGCTCTGTTTTTGTCCATGCTTTGTCTTCCTTCACTGCATCCTTGCTTACATCACCATTCATTTTGGGTTTCACCACTCCATTTACTAATTTTGTATCATTCTTTGATATACTGCTGTCATCAATATTATTTACAACTTTCTTCTTGTCTTTCTCAAATTGATCAAAGGCTTCTTCATTAGCTGCCTTCTTAAGAGTACTCTTTGAGAAGTCAGAACTTTGAAGGTCCTTAGCTTTGTTCAGTACCTCCTTGGCGTTGAAACGTCTTTCATCTACAAATGTTCCATGCTGGTTAAGGAAGTTAGCAACTACTTCCCATCTCTGATTGGTGCCCGCAGGAAATAGGTTTACAGCTTTAATGAGCAATTGAGTTAATTCTGGCGTCCATTCAATTGGGGCTTTCAAAATAGCATTCTTTTTAGCTTTATGATCTTCTGCTTTTTTTGTTTCAAACATTGCTTTTCGTTCAGCTTCCAATTTATCTTCGGTATCTTTAACGGTTTTTATGAAAGCTTCCCTGCCATTTGATTCTAAGTCTTTCATGAAATCTTGTAATTCCACAACTTTCATCATTTCACAGATTTTTTCTACGGCTGCCAAGTGTGAAACAGTTTCATTATCATTTTGAGCATAGTAATTATTAGCTTTACATAGATCTCTAAGAGACTTGCGTTCTTTACGCAAATTCTTTTTCTGTTGTTCTCTCTCAGCCCTTGCGGCGTCAAGACGGGCTTTTTCGGCTTCCTCTGCCTTTTGTTTTGCAAGCAGAGCCTCTTTCAATACTCTCTCTTCTTCTGCTTTTTTGGCTTGAACAGCATCCTGAAATAACAGTTCATATTCATATAAATTTAAAAAAAAATACAGAACAAAAATGTTAAACTTAAGAACTTGCAATAATCATCTCATTACAAAATAAGCTTATATTACCTATGTACATGATATAATATGTGTAGTTAAATATTTTGAGATGAATGCAGCAATTAATCAGATTGTTGTTATCCACACATTTTGAAACAGAAGGTTACTGTACTTTAATAATTAAAACTATGAAGGTTAGCAATAGCAAACTTGAAAAACTTTAAAGAGAGAAAAAAAGCTTGTATTCATATTAGTAGCCTTGAATAGTAGTGTGGAATATAATGACCCTTTTATGACATTATGTTTAAGCAATAGTGGCTTCAGTGATGGAATGTAACCAGCAAGCCTCACTGTACATTATATTACCTGTCGAGCACGCTTTGCAGCCAACTTTTTGTCCTTGTCTTCCTGTTTAAAGCGCTGGATTCTTGGATCATTTGCGTACGCCAAGTCAACGAGACTCCGTATCCTAGCCATCTCCTCCTTCTTTAACTTTGCCCTCGCAGCTTTGTTTTGTTTTTCTATCCAACGCCTCTCCTCCCTATCAGCTCCTCTCTCTTTTTCTTCCTCATCCAAATACGAGAACTCACGCCATGAATCAAATTCATACCAAAAAGCGTAAAACCTCTCTACATACTCCCGTGAACTATTGTCATCACCCAATAAAGGCACATTTCTTTTTTCAGACCAACGAGCATTCATTTCAAAGTACTTGGCAAATGCCTTGAAGAAATCTTCCTTTTTAATTTCCGCTGAGGTTGGGACTGAGTCATCGAACTGAGGATCTATTGAGTCATATGATTTTCGTTTGTTGGGTGTCCCAAGGGTCTCATATGCTTTTGTAATACACGTGAAGTAGTCATCGTCGCTGCGTATCTCCTCACCTTGTGCCTTTCGCTTGTCGGGATGATGTTTAAGTACTTTCTGGCGATAGGCCCGCTTTATGTCATCTTCGCTAGCCTTATACCTCAAGTCCTTCATGCCCAACACGGCATAATGATCTTGTTTCTTCCATTCTTTGGGGTCTAAACTTCTCAAATATTCCACGTCGTCTTCAAAGATTACTTCCTCGCTGTTTTCCTTCGATGTGGAAGTTAACAGCTGTGTGTCTGCCCCGTGACATTTGATGTTATAATATCGTAGAAATGCTGACCCAGCGCATTCTACTTTTCTTTTTATAAATGGCCATGGTATTTCTACCACTCTACTATGATTATTAGCGTCTCTGTCGGTCATTCTCCGTTCGGTTTGGTCAGAAAATACCGCGACGATACGAACATAACCTCAAAACCTTCAATTTAGTATGTATCAACACTTTCATGTAATTGCATCCACTAATATACATAACAGTTACAATTGCAATAAATATTTAGTTTAGTTGCTATCTATATCACATTTTAATTAAACCTAAAACGCGCCATGAAGATGACAAAACGTCAGAAAACCGCTAAATTCATGTGTGCCTTGAAGACGAACGGAACGAATCTTTTAAAATTGAATGAATTTTGAACCAAAGAGCATTTACATCAAAGCATAAATGAGGTTTAAATATTTTCAAACTTCATTAAAAATTTATCAGTTCATGCAACGATTAGTTTAATTTAATAACAAAATTATGCCAATAGAAAAATAACTATAGTATGTTTATAGCATAATTTTATCAATTTCCTTCCTTTCTTTCTTATTTCTTTATCAAATTGAGTCATTTCTTCAAAAACATATTATGTACACATAACCAATTAAAGCACTCTTGAAAGGAAAATAAAAGGAATATTATTTTCAGTATTTATATTTGCAAAAACTTATGCTACTAAATTGTTGGTATGACTGTTAAGTAAGTTAAGTATGTGTGTCCATAAACATATTTTTATAATATATTATAATACTAAGTTTCGATTCGCTCCTTTTTTGAGAAGAATGCTTTGCTGAGAGCCGCCACAGGAGATTCCAAGCATAGCCACAGCGCTCCAGATGCCAGTGTTGACATAAATATTGTTGCAAACATCACAACTAACTAAAATATAACAAAAAAAATTGATTTAAATAAAAATTAAAAAATAAACAAAGCAATAATTCAGGCTGACTATATCCACTGTATGACCCTATTACATCCAAAAGAAGACTATGAACTGAATGATAGATACAAACCCACATACGTAAAACATTTTCACATGCGCGTTAAAAATATCGGGTAATAGGAATTTGCATCTTATAAATACAAATGTAAAGTCAAATCTAGATATCACAGAACAAATGTAAAGGTCAAATTTAGGAATATCTTAATTTTCAATTATTTCGTACAAACCTGCTGCTTATATTTATAATGTGATTCAAGGTAACAAAATGTTGAAAATAAAATAAGCATACCACATTATATTCGCCAATGTAGATAGTCTGTACTTGTGAGCCAATTAATGTTCTTTGGAAAGAGGTGTGCAACAAATAGGCTCCGTAAGTAAGCCGGCCGGCCCACGTGAACCCGCGCCATTCCAATATGCAGCGGTAAACAGCTAGGGACAATGGTACAAAATAAAAATGAACTTTATATTACCAATAAAATTAATATCACATATAATAAAAATGACCAAAAAAAGTTTAAATCCACTAATGTTTGTTGAAGTTTCATACTAACATTCTATTTTAAAGACGCAGCCCATGATCACAACGAGGATTATCAGATGGAAGATTGGTTTGTAGATAGTTGCATATGCGAGTTTAAAAGAAGTGGGAAGGGCGATGTCCATGTAGAACACAGCACCAGACAGGAGCAGGAGGACACCGAGGGGAAACATTGACCACACCACGCACCGGTACTTCTGTAATAAATCAAGATTAAACACATACATACTCCTTTATTATTTCACAAAAGACAAAATAAATCATATCAGCATTCTATCATACTTTATACTTTTCCACATCTTTGGCGTCCGTCTGCCAGTGGTAGGCGAGGAAACCGCCGGCGAGGCCCAACACGTACGGCGACAGGTTGGCGTGCCCTTGGATGTAAGAGTAGTGGAAAGTCTTGTCCCTCGTGTATAGGATACGAATCGTTCTGTACAATATCACATGGTTTTATAATGTGCTCCTCAATTGCTCATTACCAAAACGCATTCTAATAAACTTACTCTGGACTGTGTATGACTATAGGATCGAGATCAATAAAGTATGTTGTAGCGGCTGTGATTAGCAAAGACAACAGGAACAGTGACATTAGCGCCAGTTGCCTTGCGCGTGGCCGCCGGCACAGCAGACACACCAGTAGACCGACGCAGAACAGCTGTGTGTCTGCCGCCAAGTACCTGTTGACACAAATATTTATTAAATTGTATAAAGTAATTTAAATATAATATTATAATATATTATAGTCACGTACCAAGTCTCCAAGAGGCAAGTATTGTCAGTGAAGATGTAGTTCTGTATGAAGAGCATGTGGGCCCACCAGTATTGCCGGCAGTCGGTGGCCTGCCGGACCACCAGATCCTGCCACAAGGGTCCGCTGCCCGTGTGCCGCAGCAAGGTCGCGCACGTCGCCAGCACCAGCGCGTACGTGGGTGTCAATCTGTCGAGCGCACCACACATTGTTCATGCAACTTCTGAAACTTCTCGCTCCCTCGTATCGAGCCAACCAGCTGGATGACGATTGTTAAACTGTGTAAATATGTAAATATGTTCTAACATAATTTTTGAAGTTAATTTGTTCAAAGTTTATGGGACGAAGTTTAAGAGACGAACCAATATTCGGTACTGTCAGATTGCGGCGAATCGAAGTCAAATGGCTAGGTAGCACAAAATTAACTTAATTCTACTTCATCAAACCTGATTAGTCTCAACAGAACTCCTTTAGGAAACTCCCACAGAGACGCCTTGTGCTTTTCGGCGTTGATCTGAAAGTTGTAGGCGAGCAGGAAGGCGGACATCACGAAGAATGTGTGCGTCACCAGGTTGCCGTTCAACAGGATCTGTTTGCTCGGGTCCTCGAGACTCTGCGGAAACGTACCACGTAGCAATTAAATTAAAACGGCTGAAACTCTGCTAATTCTTGACTATGTTTATGGGTAAGATTCTCTTGACGATTGGTTTGTCGCTTGAAATTAGGATTAATTTATTACGTTCTTAAACAAAGCAAATATGTAATATTTTTACCTTTTCTATGAAATCAGGATTTCTTAAATAACTATGCCCCATCGCGAGAGCAACGTGTGAAAATATAACGCACGCCATTGTCAAGGCCCTGAAACGTTGCATGATATAAATAAAAATAAATAAATAATGCATTGACAGCGATTAAAAAAATTATAGCTCACCTTAGCCCTTGAAATGATTTTAACCTCTCCAGCCTGGGATCGGGCCCTATGCCGGCGGGAGATACCAACTTTGCCCAGTTCCGCCTCAAAGAGAACGACAGAATATACGGATTGCCTGAAACAGTGCTATAGATATTGTTCTAATCTTGAGTGGCAAACTAAAGTCAATATAAGCTCGTTTGTATACAGATTTAAAAATAATTTTAACCTGATTTACTGCTTGGATGACAAAAAAGGACATCGTATAGGCTTCCTACAACATTGACCGCAATTAAAATCATATAGATGATGATCACAGCTAAGTCGCTCGTGTCTAGACCTCCTCTGTCGTCAGCATTGTAACAGTAATTTATATTATTCAGTCTCGCTTGTACTTTATAATTCCTCCAAATAGTATCGTTGACGCATGCCTCAAGGGTCGTGTTGAGGTCCCATGCGCTGTAGTTTAGAAACGAACAACTTTGCGTCACACATACACCTCTATGTATTCGTGTGTGATTGAAATGTTTCTTTGTGTCAGCTGAATACTCCTGAAACAAAACACAGTATTAATTTTTTCAAAACTGTATCCCGGACTGTGACCTTAAGCCACTCAGGGGAAGAGTACGGTACGAATGACACCTGTTCGGCCAAATTAGTTCAGTTGCTTAGGCACAAGGAGGTCACAATGAAACTTATTTAAATAGTGTGGGATTGCCCATACACTTACATACCTGTGAAAAATATTCCACTCATAAATAAGTCAGATAAAGATTTATTTTCAGTTTTTTTTTGTCCACAATTAAAGAATTTTTCCTATCACAACAACCTCCAGTTATATTCACGGCTAATTTCTCAGAATCTGTCATAGGCTAACGGTTAATATCTGTAAAGACCAGACCTCGAGTCTTCCTAGAGTTAGCTATAATTTTAAATATCATTTAGTAATTTATGATGATCGTTAAAATCAGTTATAAAGTTGTCTGTAGTTATCCTCCATAAACACGTTTAATTTACTTACTTTTATTACATTTATAGTGCTATCCTTAAATACATAATTTAGGCTATAACTCAAGAATTACTGTTTGTTAATTGAGGATCTTTGATACAGAGCTTGGCGTATAAATTATAAGTACTCTTAAGCAGACTATTTTAAAAGAACATGCTGCTTTATTTCGAGGAGCGTTGGTGATGATGTTGTTAAACCCTTGACCGTACCGAACCGAAATCATGCAAGTTCGATCCCTGCCATGTACAGAGTTTTTCTATTTTCGAAATACATGTGTATTTTTACTGACGTTTTTACGAAGAAGGAAAACATCGTGATGCAAATTGAATATTCAAAGATATGTGTGATGTCAACCAACTCATATAGGATCAGCGAGGTTGACTATGGTCTAGTCATCTTAACTCTGCTTAGGCTCTGAGTAGGAGCTGACGAAGACGACGATAAGTACTGCTTTAAAATGAAATGTAATTCCTACATAATATAAGTACCAAGTTTTAAAGGAAATGTAAAAATATCAAAGCCGTTTCGCTACATAAAACTATTGACCATGGTAAGAAATATAGAAATAAATACTACTAATAACTATAATAAAGAAACTTGTTAAATGTCATACTGCATATTTACTTCGTACTATCATTAAATTAAATAATATAATTACTATAGTACACCACCACCAGTATTCCTAGCTTAGAACTTTTTAAATTCTTGTTCAATGTTATGGATTTCCTATGTCGAAAAATCTGTATGACCAAGAACTTTTAAACCTAGCTTTTAGCCTAGCATTGTCGAAATATTTTCATCCTTAAAATATCATAGAAAATATAATATATATTTTTTGTGCCAAGGAATGGAGAAACCCATGGTAAGTAGTGTTTAGAAGTACATTTTTCTCAACTGATTTACCTCATTTACTCTAAGAAACTGTTCTTTATAATTTGACGTTCCTGTGTTGATGTATAATATAATACTTACGTGTATGTATCGCATGAGTTCGGAGGGCTGGTCGGAGAAGAGGTCGAGGTCGATGAGGCAAAAGGTGCCGCCAGCGTTTGACAAACATCGTTCGTACTCATCCAGGCTGTAGAGTGCTGGCATATGGTAGTACGCGCTGGCTGATGATAACGAATACACAGTTATTATTAGCTATCTACATGCTATAAATATAAAACAGAATATAATTTATCAACGAATAAATAAATATTTAATTAAAACAAATTAGAAAAACTAAAAGTCTCTTCTTCCTTGTCTCATGTGTTACTAGTTCTCGAACGCGACTACGTCCGCGCGATATTTAAAAAAAAAACATAATTAGACTATATTCAATATGTAAACCAAATTTTATTAAGATCCGTTCAGCCGTTCTGAATATACATTCAAACATCTATCCAAACATTCGCATTTATAATGTTAGTAATATTATATTATTAAGAGTCGGTGTGGGACCAGACAGTTTAGTGACATTTACATATATTATCTGAGATGTTGCACTTACTACTATTGTTATTTCGCAGTCAATGTCGGCCGCAGTGTGTGACATTTATATTTGAGAAATAGCATATCAAATCAATGACACAAATTTACTTCCGCCAACACCAACTCCGAACAACAATTGTAGTATAATCTTACTTATATTATAAATGTTTGCATAGATAGATGGATGTTTGTTTCAAGGTATAATAATAATAAGTTTGTTTTTGATTCCGGGAGGACGGAGTCGCTTGCGACAGTTAGTATAGATCAGACGGAGTTACGTTTACTAAAGTTTATTATGTTTATTAAAGTCTTCCACACGGTCTCCAACAAGCACCTTAGACAGGGTCACCTTCGTCCGGTCGGACCGTGTAGAGGGCTGTTCCCGAGAATATTTCTATTGTCATTCAAACGCCCTTGGTCGTCGGGCTTGCGTTGCCGACTGCTACCGGGACTGCCGGTTTGTTTTTGACCACGTTAGCCAGTTCCACAGTTACTCATCGTGCTGGTGCGCGCGTATGTATGATTGCTGCGTCTCGCCGCGAACGCGATTTCAAGATTTGCCTTGATTATGAGATTTATCCCCGCCTTTTTATATGGACAAAAATCAATATTTCGAAAACTTTGAAGCCATTTTACATAAATATAGCAGACGACGTCGATATAGACGATGAGTTAAATTCCTATTTTGTCCCATTGATATTAGCCGTCGCCCGCGACTTCGTTCCCGCTTTAAAAAAAACGTAATAAGTACTATGTGTTCCTTCAGATAGTATTCTACACCTATATTAGATTTCATTCATATCCGTGCAGCCGTTCTGGATACCAAACATCTATCCATCCATACATTTGCATTTATAATATTAGTAAGACGTAAAAAATATTATTTCTTTACGAGAATGTGGTAAACGGGCAGGCGTTAAAGCAATAAAATTGATAAAGGAAGTTTAATGCAAATCAAAATAATTCCACTATTCATTATCACCAGCAATTATTTATTTATTTCATCAATAAATGTCAGAATGGACAATTAGATTGTTATTGTGTGTATTTCAATCTCTATGGTCCAAGATTCTAGCTTTTTTTACAGATACTATAAATACTCCCGAAGTACTGGAATACAGTAAAGTCAAGCTAGTTTTTTTTTTTCTAAATTTTAGTTACAAAATAAATTTAAGATTGGAACATCGTACATTTGTTAGTAAAAACTGTTAATCGAAAATTCAAAAGATTGTGAAAAATATCATTTATTTTATAACTCGCCATTTAAGTGAGAAAATTGTATGCATTCAAAGTTACAGTAATGTACTAATGAAATAGTTTAAATCATACATGTTAATTTTAACTTTTATGGTTAGAGGTGACTTTATTTCGCTCTTTTAAATTTGATAAAAACAAAATACAGTAGTACCCCGTTAAGGCGATGACATTTAATACGATTTCTCGCATAATACGCCATTTTACGTAGGTCCCTGCAACTTGAGACATGTTTTTATATATTTCTTAACGTTTAAAACGATCCTCATCGCGTTTAATACGCCATCACATGACGCATGTATTGTCTTTTGTAGCAATGGTTTCCGAATTAACCCTGTTGCCGACAGATACGGAACTTTTTTAGACGTTTTTTACTCATAAATTTTATATTTTTGTATATTTTTTCTACCTTTTTCTCTGTATTTAAAATATTAGTTGTAAATATATCTTCTAACAGTGCGTGCTGATTTTTTCAGTTTCATTATTCTATTTTATATTTTAATTTTGTCTTTTAATTTTATAATATAATTTCCAAAATTATTTATCTTAATTCAACCGCTCTTTCCATCCTCATATTTTCCGTCGTCTTTAAGCCCCGTTATTGACTTCGTGTTAGAAGAATAAGGACTTGTGATACTGCAGGGTTATCATGGTTATTCTTCCATTGATAACAATGTGGCACCGCACGAGATTTAACATCACAAACTATTTAACATCTCATTGAAAACGCTAATAAAACGGAGGCTCAGAGTGATTACGATGAATAGGAATATACAACTACAATCGTATCAGATCCCGAGGCATTTTCAGTAGTAAATGATTTATGACATAGCGTACCATCTTTAAATAAAAGCGAAGACGCACTTTAATATTTAAATTACATTGAGAATTTAATTATTACTAATTATCAAAATTTTCCTGTCAAACCAAAATGACGTATAATAAAATAATTACACGAAGTACATAACGTTTATAAATATATCATCCAATACCTATATATACGAAATTAGAAACGATTACATAAATACGCAGTTATTTAATAATATAGAGTACGCCTTTTATCCCATTTCCGCATAATACGCTTTCCCGCGTAAGACGCGTTTTTGGCTCGTTCCCTTATAAATTGTATTACCGTGGTTCTACTGTAAAACAAAATTTGCAAATTGTCTAAGCGAGAAAAATCTAAATAAATTAAAAATAGAAAAAAAAACAAAAATACTTACAATTAAATTTATAAATAACGCCGTTGCATCCTTGCAATAATAAAAACGGAAGTAATATTGTTAACATTTCTAAAAAAGATATTTTTTTTATTTATTTATTATAATAATAGGTGAACGTCAGTGGCAAGATCGCCAATGACCAAAGACAAGAGATCACTGCCCGACTTCGCGCGCATTGCTTCTGTCCTTATCCTTGTTTACAACTTGCAACTTGTTAAATGATAATTAAATGATCGCTACTCCAATATATTATTAAATAATAAGATCTTACTAATATTATAATGCGAATGTTTAGATGGATGCACGGATGTTAGAAGGTATCTCCAGAACTGCTGCATGGATTTTTATAGAATTTGGCATAGATATAGAACATAGTCTAAAAGAACGGATAGACTACTAATTAAGTTTCTTTTCAATTCCTCGTGGATGGAGACGCGAGCGACAGCTACTATTTTATGTAATTGCAGCAGTAGTCCTGGAACTGACGATGCGAAAAACAAAAACTGCATAACAATAATTTCTCTCTTATCGAGACATATCTTTCAAAAATTATTGTTGATCGAGGATGATGATCTCAATGGAAACTTAATTTAAGCATAAATGTAATCTATCTAATTCTTTTGTTAGTTGAGCAGAAATAATCTGCTTTGCCGCCTTACCTCACCGATTTCCTTTCCTGAAGACCGACATACACGGACCGCTTCATGCAGGCGGCCCTAATCCCTAAATTATCCCCGAACCTCACGGCGTCCGCCCGAAGCTGTCGGAACTAGCTACCCGACGGATTGTAGGGCGGTCAGTGTTAATTAACAAGGGTTGATGTTTAACTTCAGAGAGAAAAAGAAGAGGCAACTGAAGTCTTTTTATAAAAGATCTAGGGCACAATTTAGCGAGTCGTCCATGACCATAACCTGTTTTGATTACGTCAGCCTGGATTTCATGAAGAAGGTGCCATTGACCTAAATAAGTAGGCCTTAATTTAATCTTATTACACGAATTGCAAAATTAATTTTAAAACAAGTAAAATCAGTTTAATTTGTCTTTGACATTGATACTAAAAACGAAAATTTGTGCAGCCATTTCATTTATTTATATTCATTACAAAATACGTTTAATAACTCTGTACTTAATTCCAATAAAACCTTTATCTACGAATGACTTAAGTCCTTACGTACAACAACTCCTGATATCTCTTTCTGAAGTCCCGCAATCCATCTACGGTTCCTTTTTGCGAATGTCCATAGGCGTAAGTAATCAACTAACATCACAGGACCTCGATGCTATTTTGTCTCCTTATTTTAAAAAAAAAACTTCAAAATCGGAGCACCAGGGGCGAAGTTACGCGGTAACATACATCAAAAAATACAGATAACCTCCTTCTTTTTGAAGGCGGCAAAAAAATTCAATAAACAGACAACGATTGTGTTTTTGCAATACCAAGTTGTCGCTTCTAACGTTCATTCCAAATCACAATTTATCTTTGTAAAAATTATCTCATGATTACCAATTTTTTTTATTTTCGATTTTTATTTTTTTATTTTTAATTTATTTTCGATGAAAATTTCATTTAAAATAGTTTAATAGTCCCTTTCCATAGTGTATTTCCTTTGTTAAATAAGTAATATTCGAGATCGTAAATTTGCTATAAACAAAGTACAGGTGTTTCTATTACAATATGACATAGGAGGATCTACATCAGGGGGTGGAAACTTAGAAGAAGGACGATTTGTATGGAAAGTGGCGCCATCTTTTAAATCTTGGTAAACATCATTTCATCTCTACTTTGTGTCATCGAGACATTCATGTGTCATCAAACCGCAACGTTTTTTCGTATTTCTTTTTCTGTTCTTGTATTCTTAGTTAAATGTTGTTTCATTCATTTTGTTTTTAATTAAAATGTGTTTTCGTGAAAAATGACGCTGTACGCAACTGTGTTTTAGATGGACTGATTATGGTAAGTTACAATTCAATAAAAAATTTCATGTTTTTCCCATACGTCAATTAAACATTTAAATATTTTCGTATTTTGGTGTAGTTTTTAGCACCACAGTGATTTATCCTTTCCGGTTATCATATTGAATGGTGCCCTACTTCTAATACATTTTACATATCAGTTCCTATACTTGATAGGAAATCACATTCTGTTTGTTTGTTGTATGTGCACATATACACGGTTTCCCCCTTCCTGAGAGACGGTCAGTGATGTTCAGAAAATGTGTGCCAATCACTGGAATTATAGAGCCATAAACTGATGTGTCTGAAATTAGTAGGTGGGTCCATGTGTGTATATGTAAAAAATATATTTTTTTTATTTGTAATTTTTTATTGTAAAGAACAATTTGCTTGCCTATGTTGTAAGAGAATATGTTCAGAGTGTTTAAACTCGCAAATAACTACAAATGGCCAGTTGCCAGCTTGCATATGACTGAAAATATTTTGGGGTTTGGTTTTAATTACAGGGTAT